GCGAGGTATGTAAGTAGTCTCGTTGAAAAATCTACCAGATATGATTCGTGCTTCAATGACGTGTCTTCCAAGCCTTACGATTTGTAATTTAGTACCATTGCATAGTCCTCTGGTTTGGTCAATATTACGAAGCAACATGACCGGAACACCTTTTTTTAGTATAAGTTTATGGTTGGGAATTCCAGAGGCCTTAAAAGCGTTCAACACATCCGAAGAGTATACCGATTCCTCAAAAGAATCTTCTGCCTCGGTCTCACATAAGGAATCTGAACTCATATATGTTTTCCCTTCATCTTTCATCAATTCTAACATGTAGTTGTTGATAGCATCAACTTCTTCATTAGTAGGGACCAAAATAGATTTATCTTGAAAATACGATGGATCATCAAGATGGTTTTGAAAAGATGAATAAATGCAGGATACAATTGAATGACTATGGTCACCCGTAGAGGAAACGATCACATCTTCTGAAAATTCAACCTCAACTTCACCATCATTAGGACCACCGATAGTACCTTCACCAATTTTAAGAATCCAATCAGCAAATGATTTTGTCTCTTCGAAATCATTGTTTGGACAACCGAAATGAAGCCTCATGTTTACAGTCAAACGTAAAACTGTACATTCACGCCATAATCTTGATGAATGAAATGATGCCTGCACAATATCTAAACGATTTCCTTTTTGTATTACTGGTAGAATTTGTCGAAAGTCACCTCCAAATACAATGGTCTTGCCTCCAAATGGTTTATCATTGTTCTTTGGAAGGATAATATCTCTAAGTGTCCTATCAACTGCTTCGAAACAATGACGATGCATCATTGGGGCTTCGTCCCAAATTATAAGGCTTGCTTTGTTCAACAGGGCAACTACATCGTTACCTGGCGTAATAGAACAAATCGAATTCTCATTCACGTTAATTGGTATATGAAATCTTGAATGCGATGTCCTACCACCAGAAAGCAAGAGTGCTGCAATTCCGCTTGAAGCAACATTAATAACTACTTCACCTTTAGATCTAATAGCAGCAGACAATGTCTTCCAAACAAATGTTTTTCCTGTTCCTCCGTAACCATAGAGGAAAAAGACACCACCTTTTTTGTTGTTAAATGCATTCATAATTATATCATAAACATTTTTTTGCTCGACATTTAATTTTGAATGCAGTTGTTGATGTTCAGATTCAAGACTGGACAGATCATAATTAAGCTCATCTTGAATTAACATATTGCAAGAATCTTGAATATATTTGTGATCAGGTAATGGCATATTGGGTATTTGCTTAAGACTCAGTCCACAGCTCAATAAAGATTTCTCAATGTACGACAACGTTAGGTGGTAAATTGCTTCCGGTTTTAGCTTCAAACCTGAAAACAATAAAAAGTAATGAAATAATTTATTTATAATATCAATTAAAGTGGGAACGTTTTTTTTGTGTGAATGTACCTTTCACGCCTATTTCTTGTTCACGAACGTGAACAACATCATCAGAAAGATAATTATATGTCTCTTTAAAAACATGATGAGGTCGGGATAGACTATCTGATGTAATCAACATAACGAATAGAGACCTGCAGAAAGAAGCGGTTGCCCAATGATGTGTTTCTTGTATAGAAGATATGTACTCTCTATCATCGTCTAATAGACCAAGAGCGTAGCAAACATCTTTGTAAGAGTCATAAACGGTCCCATTAACCGTTCTAATATCTTCATAACAAGTAGGACCCTTTACTTTGTTGAGCAAAATGCGCAAGTAATAAACATCACCAGACTTGGGAGACACATGATTAATTCTTCCAAGTGACTTTGTCTTTGTTTTTCTTCTTGTCCATACTTTATCTGATTTATTCCAAACATATTGAGTTGGAAATTCAACATAGGATAACTCCCTTGCCTTTTCGTCGTAGCTATTACATTCCATCCAGGCCAAAATTTGAGAAGCAACAATAGTTGGTTTAGAAACAACATTAGTAACACGTTGGGATGGTTTGAACACAACATGTTGTTTGTCTTGTAGGTGAAACGACAATCTTTCAACATGTGGTGTTCTATAATGAATGTCATACCTAAAAAGTCTCCAACATGCCTCACAAGCATAAATATAACGACAATTGTAATACTCAACAATTTCGTCACGATCGTTATTTTATTTATGTTGTTTTTTGTTATTTTTGGCGTCATAAAAAGACGCGGTGATCCTGTCTGGACCTTTGTTAATATACTTAAAAATGTACTTTATCGATCCAAGCTGATTACACCACTCAAGATTCATATGGGCTTGATATTGCTTTAAAAGTGTCTTATTATATGGAACAACATATCTGAAAAAAGAAACAAAATGTCATAAAGAAAATTAAGATCATTTAACATATCTTTCCTATAAAATATAACATTTATAAGGAAATAAATGTTTATATAAATTTTTTTTAATTTTTATACCTATTGTCCAAAGAAACTCCATTTTTCACGACATTGTTTCCGTTGTCGCGTCTTCGGTAAACTGGATAACCATCATCATCAATATATGTTTCATTTGTAAAGTCTTTTGGATATTATTATTGTAACTTTTTAATGTACTTGCTTTTTATATTAAATTTCGATCATATGTTATCTGAAAATATTATTTTTATTTCATTAAATATGAATCGGTGACTATTTCAATGTTGTTTTACTTTGTCAACCGTGTAGTACACGAGTTATAACCTAGTAAATTAAACCAAACAACCCGAAGCAAACATACATATCATATGGAATCTATAAATTAAGGATCAACATAAACCAAACCGAAAATATAAAAAGAAAAAAAACCAAAAAACCAAAAATTCAGTTACTATAATAAGCAACAATAAAACAAAAATTCAGTTACAACTAAAAAAATAAATAAAAATAGGATACTATAATAAGCAACCAAATCAAAGTATGATGATACAATAGACACTAAATCAAACTATTTAGGTTCAAAATGAAACTAAAAATCATCTACAAAAGGCACTAAATCAAATTATGTTTAGGTTATGTTCATGTAAAGGTCTTCATCCAATTTTCTGTATTTACCTAAGAGGAAGCCACTCTTGTCAACAATCATATAACGACCATACTGCATCCACCAATTTAGTTCTCCTTTATCTGTTTCCTCATTTGCATTTGATGACTTATTGGACTGTCTCAGGATAGGTTGCATTTGGACAATTGCATTGTGATTTGGAAGATCATAGCCTTCACCATTTTTGCACTCTTCACATAACCATCCATGTTTGGGAACTTCATTTGGCATTTTCTTCATACAATAAGTGTGTTCAGCGCCATCCATGCATCTACTACATATAGCAAGTAAATGTTCATGCCCTACATCTCCACATATATCACACACAATGACATCGACAACAACTTCAACATCCATTTCTGAGTAGTTTTAATCTGAAAAAATTTCAAAAATTCTTTATCAAATAAGGTTTATCAAATAAGGTTTATTTTCAGTAGAAAGACCTTGTAGTAATTAGAAAGATAGAACAAAAAAAATTGAATACCATTAATTAACAACCTCAATAAGAAGCATTCGTGAACCAGAAATTCTCAAAGTGATTCCATCATCGTTAACATCCGTCCCTGGTTAAACCAATTGATGAGATGAGAATCCCAATATGACAATATAACCGAACCAATGTTTGCCTCCTGCAACAGGACAACGTCAAAAAGAAATATGAATTTTAGAAAGAGGGAGATAAGGTTATGATAAGGTAGCGAGAACGAAGGAAAATTGTGACCTCACAATAGTTTGTTTCAATGACGATTTGATGTTATCGGGACCAAACTTCTTTATTCGAAAGACGAAGAACTCCCCACCCAGGTGTTTGAGAGTGGGAAGGATCTGATGTAGAAAGCAGATAAGAAGAAGCGTTGTAGGTCCTTATTCTTTAACAGATTTCGTCAAACTCTGCAATCACACACACGGAATTCATTAGTTTCATGAATCAATCGTCTCCATTTGATCAGTAAAGGTACGATTCATCATGCAATACGACATAACTACAAAATCATCTTCTAAATAACTCAAAAGTCGCCAATAAGGCAATAATTAAAATCAAATTTCTATGCACACAAACATGATTCATCAATAACACCCTCTAACTGATCACTAAGGGTACAATTCAGTCCATATAATTTCAAGATTATGTTTGATCTTCAAATCAGTATAGTTAAGATTAGCATATATTACTAACATGTCTAACAGAGATCATTATCCTCGACATAACTAAAAATCGTCATTAATTGAAATCGAGTTTGTGTACGAAAAAAACAGAGGAAGTGTGTGCTTGTGATTCATGCATGCATGCATGACAATACTCAATAAAATAATAAGAAATAAGAATTGAACACTAAAATTGTCCAGTAGAAACAGAAGAAATAAAAGAAAACAACGAATTGAAGGAATTTTCGAAGTAAATAATGAACTCATACAGACCTTTTTGTCTTCCTGAAGATCATCCGGAAGGTGGTGGAAATATTTGGGAGCGCTGATGTTTAGATGATGATCGTATTCCGTATTTGGTGGCTAATTTTTTTAATTGATAAGCTTTGAAGGAGTTATAACACTTAATTCGAATTTAGTATTTCTTGAATAAAAAATGAAGTGTTTTTAAGGATGACAACACCACAAATATTAAAAACGATCTAAGGGTTAAGATCAATCAAAAAAATCCAATAAATAGTTCTAATTGTTGAAGGTGACATCTACCAGTTCTGTTTTAATATATCTCTTAGTCGTTTATAATTTATTATATTATTATATTATTATTTATTTTTATAAACACAAATCCCAAACACATTTTGCATCCGGCACCAAAAATACGTAAGCACAGGAGCGGCCCCACTTGGATTTCACAAAAGAAAGCGAAAGGATAAAAAGCGAACCGAATCCCTTAAAATGGGGCCCACCGTTCCGCCTTCCTCTGTCAGTATAAATAACCAACCTCGGTCCTCCACGTTTCCATCATCCCTCCGCTAATTCACTGACTCGTCAGCACTCCTTTTCTGTGCGATTTTGCTTCCCTTTTCTTTGTTCTCACACCGGAAGCCTCTCAAAGTGATCGTCGAGAGTAATAATCATGTATTCGTTCTTCTTTTGATTCGATTATCTAATCGTTCATTTCGATTTTTGTTAGAATTTATCAGATTTCTAATTACTATACTGCGATTCGCGATTGCATGATTTGTTAAGCATGGTTAGACTTCGGTTCATGTTCTTCCCCTTTTCTATCGATGTATCATATAGCTTCATTTCACATGAAATGAAGTAAATTTGATATTCGTTATTGCCTTACACCTTTTATTCGCTTTAATTTTGAATTTCTTTTTGGCACGAATTGATACCTGTAATTCCTTGATGTTCTTGCTCTGAAAGTCTCGTGATCTTGCTATAGAAGGCCTTTTCACAATTACCGATAGCTCTCAATTGCATGAAGATGATGATGTTGATTATATATCTTGCTGATAGTGTTAGTATGCATTTTTGTGTTGTTTGGTTTTTAGGGTTTTCTTTGCTGTGTTTTGAAGTATTACAACCTGTTTTCTGGTGTTAAGAGTTTGATTTGTGAACCTTGAAAAGATATTGTGTTATGTTACACCAAAAAGGGACTCTTCTAGGGAAGTGATATCTGAAAGGGATAGTTTGGGTTGTAAATATGATGGTTCTTTGCTGTTCAAGCATTAACAACTATGGGATACTATTTTCTGAAAAAAGTCTAATTTTTGGCTATTTTTTTTTTTAAAAAGTAATTAAGGTATTTGGCTAATTATGTAATTCTCTCTATTTTGAATTCAACTGATCAAAACTATTTATCTAAATGATCTCCCTATAAATCATTCACTTTAATTATGATTATCATTGGTTTAAGGAAATTAAGCTCATTTTTGTTCCTGAAAGAGTGATGAAAAGCTGTGTAGACTAAAAACAGTATAACTTTCACTTGCAGATTAACATGAACAGAATTGGTTAAGCTCATAAAGTCTGATCAAATTCCATCAAGTTTTCCATCTGGTTTAGTGGCTTATATTGTTTGTTCAGTTTGAGAGGTTAAATCTCTATGGGGGGAGTTAGTTCCATAAAACAGGTCCAACATACTAATGAAAATGGTGCATACAGTGGAGTTTCTAGAAGGTTTTCCAGAAATGGAAGCTCAAAGTGGTTGGGAGCCTCTTTTTTTGATAATAAAGAGCAAATGGCAATATGTCCACCTCTCATGGAATTGTGCACTCATATAATATGTGAAGTAAGTTATTCCTTTTGAAGAGTTGACATTCATTTCATGTTAGGATACTTTTGTCCCATGCTAATAAAATTGTTTTTTTTTTTTTTTTTTGTTGTGAACAGAAAATTGATCAATATGACACATTCTCTATGCTTCCAAGAGACATTAGTCAGCAGATATTTGATCAATTGGTCTATTCTAAACGCCTTAATGAAACATATCTTGAAGCTTTTCGAGGCTGTGCTCTTGAGGTATCCAGTAACAAGTAGAAGGATATATATATATATATATATATATATATATATATATTTTATATATATATTTGTATTTTAAATAAACTGTAGATAAAAGGTTGATCTTTAGGTTCACCGATTTACTTTTTTGTTTCTTTTTCCAATTTGATCTTTTTAGATAAACCTGTTTTCAAACATTACATAAAGGAAAACTGTATAGAGTAACCTATTCACTTAAATTGGGTCGTTAAAGTTATCACAAATCAACCTGCTAATTTTGGGTTTGTTTGATTTATGACAACTCTAATTCAACATCTTATTATTATGTTTTTTTTTTTTTTTTCTAATTCAAAATCTTAAATAAATTTTTTTTGAAGGATATTGAATTAGGAGAATATCCTGGAGTTGATGATAGCTGGATGGAGGTCATATCCTCACAGGGATCATCTTTACTTTCAGCAGATATTTCTAATTCTAATGTTACTGATAATGGTTTATTCCACATTAAAAACTGTGACAACATCCAAGATTTGAACTTTAATTTCTGTGCCCAAATTTCAGACACTGGGCTTGATCACATTAGCGGTATATTCTTCTTCTCTGAGGTTATAATGGTAATTTCACTTTCACACCCTCAAAATCAGATTAGCTATATACAACTTTTCTTGCTTTTTGTTTCAGGTTTTTCTAACTTAACAACTTTGAGTTTCAAAAGAAACAACAACATCACTGCAAATGGAATGAGTGTGCTTTCTAATTTGGTCAACTTGTTAAATTTGGATTTGGAAAGATGTCCATTGATCCATGGTGGTCTTGTTCATCTAAAAGGTATTAATTATAATTTCCTTTTTTAGATTTTAAAAAATGTTTGTTTTTTTTTATTTTTATTTTTCATTTTGATATGTAAAGATGTTATTGGCAGGTTTATCAAAGCTTGAGGTGCTTAACATTAACTGTTGTAATTGCATTACTGATGATGATATGGAACCTATCTCAGGTAACATAGTCTTAATATCAACACAGATTTATATGGAATTGTCATTTGTTCACATTACTAAAACTAATGGAAGCATCAAACTTTTCAGTTAAATCACTTATTGGTTTGTTATGTTTAATGATTCATATCTTTTTATGTTTTTAGAGCTAAAAAACTTGAAAGAGTTGCAAGTTTCTTCCAGCAAGGTGACAGATCATGGGGTCACATTTTTGAAAGGTCAATACCCTTTGATTTACTAATTTACATTTCAATTTTTTTTTACTCACATTTCTTTTCCTCAAATAAAAAATTATTTGGTTATGATTTTTGAGACTTTTTTTTTTTTTTTAACAAGATTGATGTTATTAAATACCCCTGCCCCAAGGAACGAAAATCAATCAAATGGAAGGAATCAGATGACACCAAAAACCATTTTTTTTTTTTTTTAAATTGTTGAATGTATCTAAATTCTGAGACCCTTCATTACATGAATCATCAGATGCATTGTTTTACATGGATTAAATTTTATATCTTGCATCTAAATTCAAGGTTTAATTTTTTTCATTACAAAACCCTAGTGAGTTGACTCAGTTGAATGAGTGCAATATTTCAGGATTATACAAGCTTGCAATGCTGAATATGGAAAGATGCCCTGTTACTGCAGCATGCTTGGATGCACTTTCAGGTCCATACAAAATCAATATTTCCATAATCCATATTATTATTATTATTATTATTATGTTATTTTTCTTAATCACATGATGCCAAATCTTTTCTTATTTTTAATTGCAGATATTGTGACTCTGCTTTATTTGAATTTAAGCAGAAGTAATTTGACCGATAACGGGTGCCATAAATTTTCAAGTAAGTCTTTGTTAGGGTGACACTAAACTAAACTTTTTTTTTTCCTGAATTATGTTAGTTTTTTAGGGCTAAACTCTTTAAGAGTACTCAATTTGGGATTCAATGATATTTCAGATGCTGTTTTGGTACATTTGAAAGGTGCTTCTTGTCCTTTCTTTGTCTTTTATTTTTTATTTATAATAAACATAAATTGATGTATATTAAATTACAAGATTATGCTCATATGCCAGGTTTAAATAATTTAGAGAGCTTGAATCTGGATTCATGTAGAATTCGGGATAATGGATTGGTTAACTTGGCAGGTGATTCTTTTCTTATTTATTTATTTTATTCCCATCTTTTTACTTCTACATTATTTTTTACATGTCATCATATAAGTTCTTGTTCAGAATTCAAACAAACATGAATAATGTGAATACTTGACATGATATAATTCAAGATTTTGTGGCACATAGCATCCCCAATGAAGACTTTTATAAAAGCTTTTTACTATTCTTTAAGCCTTTAATAAAGCTTATTACCATAAAAAAAATCGTCCCACTTAATAATTTGTCTATCAGATGCTGATGCATATATTTGTAAAAAATGACAGGCCTTCATCATTTGAAATGTTTGGAGTTGTCTGATACAGAAGTTGGAAGCAATGGTCTTTTCCATCTTTCAGGTTATACATTTTTCTATAAACTTAAGAATTTGATTTTAAGTAATCAATTCATCTTTTATAAAACTAGTAAAGAGCCCGCGGCTATGCCGCTTTTGGGGTAATATGGGAAAAATCGGCAATTTTTAAAAAAATATGTGTTGAAATTGTAAATCACCACAAATAGGGGAGTAAGTCGACAGCCCCTAAAATTAGATGTCAAAAGTGTACAACCAAAAAAATGGACACCGGTGGAGAAAATCCAAAAATGTTGTGACAAAGTTGTCACAATTGGGAAAATATGGTGACAAAATTCTAAAGGAGGTTTTGTGTGTTTTTTATGTCAAAATGTAAAAGTTTTGACGATAAGGACGAAAAGTGTCAAATTCATTAAAGATTTGTGGCAAAAACACCAAAATATAAAACTTTTCACTGCAAGGACTAAAAATGTCAAAGTCGGTAAAGATTTGTGGCAAAATCCTAAACACACAAAAACTTAATCAAAAGGTAAAAATATAAAAGTTTTGACTTTAGGGACGAAAAGTGTAAAATTAACCAAACATTTGTGGCAAAAACCTAAAACCAAAAAAAAATACTATTCATAAGCTCCTTTGGATTTAATATATATATATATATATAATTTGCTGCAGGGTTGATGAATCTCCAAATTTTAAATCTTTCATTCACTGTTATCACGGATGGAGGTTTACCAAATCTTTCCGGATTATCAGCTCTTAGATCACTTAACTTAGATGTTCGCGACATCACAGATGCTGGGCTTTCAACTCTTACAAGTAACAAAAATAAAAATAAAAAACTTTTATATCCCTAAAATTCTAAAAAAAAGGTAAATTCTTATTTGTTGGATGGATGCAGGTTTGACCGGATTGACTCATCTGGATCTCTTTTGTGCTAGAATAACAGATGCAGGAACAAATTCTCTGCGCTGTATGACAACATTTATGAATTTTAGTAAAATAAATAAATAAATAAACAGTCTGTGATGTTGAATGACGGTTATACCCCTGTTTTTTCATCTAGATTTTACAAAACTTCAGTCTTTGGAAATCTGTGGTGGAGGAATAACGGATGCTGGTGTGAGGAATATAAAGGATCTTCGATCTCTGGTGCTTTTGAACCTTTCACAAAATAAACAAATTACAAATGCATCCTTAAAATCCATTACTGGTATTTTTATTATTTATTATATCTCTCCTTAAAAATTAAATGAAAGGGGCTTTATAAAATATTTTAAGATAGAATGTTAGATGAGGGTAAATGTGTAATTGTTGCAGGTCTGACAAAATTGGTTTCTTTAAACTTATCAAGTTCTCAAGTAACAGGAGAAGGATTGCAGCATCTAAAGCCATTGAAAAAGTTGAAATCTCTGAGCTTAGAGTCCACCAACGTGACTCCAAATGATATAAAACAACTCCAGGAATTTGACCTTCCAAATTTGGTAACCTTTCGTCCTGAGTAGTTTTGTAAACAAGATTGACAGATATTTTGGTATGTTGATCTCAGTGTGTTTGGTATGTTGGTGAATAAGAGAATTACTTCTCAGTATTTGTAGTTGTAATTATTGGTTATATATGACTTTTATTTGATTGACCAAGTGATTTATATTTGTTTCTTTAAGTGGATGATTATCAAAATAATTTATGCGTTCATGCCATGTTGAATAATACTAAGCACGTACAATCAACATGTGTGTTAGTAATGTTATATTCTTGAGGTAAAATAAGTATTAAACACAAATCTACACTAATTATGATTAATGATGATTGGATAAGTTGGATAAAATTAATTGCTTAAAGATGATTTGAAAATGTTAATTTCTCGATGTACTAAGGGCTTTGCTAGAGTTGGATGCTCCAAAAAGAAAACTAAAGTAAATCGCAATTTAGGGGTTCCGACACCAAGTTAAAAGTGTATTAGAATGTATGAGAGAATTTGGGTCTCAAATATATGAATTATAAAAGTAATATTTTACATACTCATATTTTAATTTATACAATAAAAATATAAAATAAATAAAGTCACCACATAAAGACCATTTGTCGGTCCACGATCTATAATATATAAGTTTTGGAAATTAATAATCATTGGAGAACATGAGCCAAACTTCAAAGGGCGACACGTGGCCTATAACAGTGCACGCGTCGAACAACCATCAATCTCTAAGCCACCTAGACAACATATGGCAGCACCATGCGACACTTTAAGCTTCTCTTATATGTTTTCCGGCGACAGAACAGATAGGGAGAGAGATCAGAGATGGGAGGAGGAGGAGGAGGAGGAGGAGGAGAAGAAGAAGAAGATTGGAGAAAAATGGCGGATACCCACAAAATGAGTCCAGAGGAAGTGAAGAAAGTAGGGGTGGAGTCATCCAAGAGACCACCTGGCCACAACCCAGGTGGCGTTCTACACCAGCGCCGTAGTTTACCCTTCAGCACCACCACCATGACCATCGTTGGTTTCCTTATGGCTGCCGGAATTGGCTACTCCGTTCTTTATGCCAAGAAAAAACCAGAAGCCACCGCACTGGATGTTGCTAAAGTCACAGCCGGAGTTGCCGATGCCTCCAATACCCACCCACGTGGTGGCACCACCGCCACACCACCGGAGGACACCAGTCCACGCAAATGAAGCCCATGTAATTTCTTGCTTTCTGCAAGTTATGTTTTCTTTTAACAGTCTGAAGTACGCACATACATTTTGTTAAGTGCGCAGTTGGTAGACTCGGACTTATAATTATCAATTGAGAATATGGCTAAAAACATTAACATGTTCTTGGATTTGTTCTATATGTCGATTGTTCTATTTTTGAAAGGCGTCTAGACGATTTGATCATTTGTGTGTGATAATGTTAATCCATTAACATGTATTGTTATGGTATTAAATTTAACATGTGCTTAGAATCATATATTAAAAAGTATCATGGTTTTATTTAAAGCAATAATATTGTTCAAAACTCGGGTCCGTTTATTACATTTATTTCATTTGATATTGCAAGATGGTCATTTATATTTGGGGAGATGAATATTTTGAGTGGTTTACATATATATAAATATTAATGTTACACTTTCCGGTAGAAAATACAGCGATTAGATATTTAGTTATTGATTATTTACATGAACATAATAGAATACCTGAATGAAACTTTAAATACAAAGTACAATGCGATAATGTGTGAAGCAATGGATATATTTATTCCATGGGGCTTGCCTGAAATAGTTCACGAGGCTTGCCTAGTTGCCCCTTCTTCATAAAAAAAAATGGATATATTCACCAAGTTTAATAAGAAAACTTCCAAAGTAAATTTGGTAAATTACATTACAGCTCAAGAAATGACCACAAATTTTCAAATATTTTTTATTTCTTTCCACCGTTTTGGTTAGATGTCAAAGTATTTCGGTAACAGTCATTAAAAGCCTAATGCTAATTTATGTCACAGTGATCATTAATTTATATTATTATTATTATTATTATAATTATTTTTTGTAGTTGTTTATGCCATTGAATTTTTTATTTTTTGTTTTTTGTTATAGTTATTTACTAAAACTTTTGAAATGATGAACAATTCATTTTATATGTTCTTTTTTCATAATTTGTTTTTATGTTTTACATTTTATATTTTTAATTTTTATATATTTTTTACAATTTTATTTTTTATTTCGTCCTAACATGTTTTTACTACTTAGCTTTTTTTGGAACCGGAAAATGATTATATTAATAACGAAATAAGAAAAAAAAACAAAAGTTCTCTTCTAGCAAGAGACTAGAATTTGGAAAAAAAAACAAAAACAAAATTACAAACACAGTTTGGGACACACACACCACTCAGCCCAGTTATAGAGACAATCATTTCTCCTATACCTCAACCATGTATATACCATAGATTTTATGTCATCGACCACCTTTGTTGGTGACACTCTCCTATGTTTGAACAGTCAGTCACACCTAGCCTTCCAGATAAGCCATACAGCCCCATACCATATAGCTAATAGACTCCTTCTCCTTTTCATGCAAGTTCCCCATTGTGAGCAAAACTACACCAATTCTCCTATACTGTTAACTTGGGGATTATCGATTTCGCACCATCTGAAGATCCATCTCCATACCTTACCTGCAACGGGCAATGAAACAAAATATGATTGGTATCTTCATCACTAGAATTGCATTGTGGACATGTTGTGGATTCAATGTTAAAATTCCTGTTATGAAGTGCACATCTGGTTGTGTGGAAGTTTCCTTCAAACTTCAACATTGGATGATTTCTAGAATACCATTCTACACATGTGGTTTTAATTTGTCAAGAATGGGTGGTAGCATGTTTGTCAAGAATGGATGGTAGCATGTTTGTCAAGCTTGGATGGTAATAGACAATTGAATTCATACATTCATTTGCCTATAAAAGGAAGTGAAACCAAGCTTATTAAAAACACCACACCTCAAATTACATCTTCATTTTTCTCTCATATTCATACAAATATATATTTGATATATTTGTTTTTCTTTCCTCTATCTCTGTAAACACTGAATATTATAGTAAATTGGTTCTCGGCTTCCTCCGCCCGTGGTTTTTCCTGATTTGGGTTTCCACGTAAATATCGCGTGTTTTTTTCTTTTTATCGTTCGATTTATTCTTGGTTGATTATTCAAATAGTTTTATATTCCGTTGAATCGCTATCGTGATATTTGGGTTTTATACTTCGATCTTGAAGTTATCGATTATTTATTGTAGTCGATTTGTCTACAATTGGTATCAGAGCTATCCGGGTTTTCCGATAACGATTCGTAAAAAACTATTTTCAACCATGTCATCGATGAAGTACGATATTCCTTTACTTGACAGAAACACAAGATTCCCTCTCTGGCAAGTAAAGATGAAAGATGTGTTGATCCAAATGGATCTCCACAAAGCACTATTAGGAATGGAGAAAATGCCGGCAACTTGGTCGACTGAGGAAAAGGAGATGAAAGATCTGAAGGCGTCGTCGCAGATCCGTCTGCATCTTTCTAACGACGTTCTCCAAGATGTGTTGAAAGAGACATCCGCAGCGGCTCTCTGGCTAAAACTCGAGCAGCTACTTATGACGAAAAGCTTGCCCAACAAGCTACACTTGAAGCAACGACTTTTTAACCTAAAGATGGGTGAAGGTAGTTCTTTGTCTGATCACCTCTCTACCTTTAAAGAGCTTGTAGGAAATCTGGAGAATATGGACGTCAAATACGAAGATGAAGACTTGGCGTTATTTTTATTATCTTCTCTCCCAGACTCCTACGATCACTTTCGTGACACCATTATCTATTCTCGGGACACTCTTGTCCTTGACGAGGTAATGACTGCTCTTGATTCAAAGGAAAAGATGAAGCAGATAGTTGGGAACAGTAGCAGCGATTCTAAAGCCGAAGGTCTCAACATCAGAGGGAGACCTAACGAGAGAGGTAGCTCTTCACAAAACCGATCTAGATCTAAGTCCAAAGCCAATCGCAAGTATTGCAATTATTGCCACAAGAAGGGACATCTGATCGATGAATGTTTCAAGTTAAAGAACAAGGAGAAAGCAAAGGCAATCGCAAAGGGAAAAACAACCAATAACACCGTTGAAGCCGATGTTGCCGAAACTGGTTCCGATGGCGAGCTTCTATCCGTTTCAGACTACGGTTTAATGACCACGAGTGAGTGGGTACTTGATTCAGCGTGTACTTTTCATATGAGCTCCAACCGAAGCGTTTTTCATTCATATGAAAAGGTTAACGAAGGCCACGTTCTAATGGGTAACGACACTTCGTGTCGTATTATTGGACGGGGTACACTCAGGTTCCGCATGTTCGATGGCGTTGTTCGAACGATTCAAGATGTGAAGCACGTATCCGGTCTTAGGCGAAATTTACTAAGTCTCGGTACTTTCGAGAAGAAAGGTTACGAGTTTGTTGGCAAAGACGGGAAACTCCATATTTTCAAGGAAGGTTCTGTGGTCATCCGAGGAGTTAGAAAATCCGCAAACCTTTACATTATGGATGGGCAAGTTATCTCCAGCGAAGTCTCGGTATGTTCTAAATCCCTCTCCAACGTTGATCGCTCTCGGCTATGGCACCTCAGGCTCGCTCACATGTCATACCATGGTATGAATGAACTAAGTCGAAGGGGGTTGCTCGGGGAGCACAAATCAATCGAACTTGAATTCTGTGAAGATTGTGTATTTGGAAAGCAGAAGCGAGTGAGTTTTATCGGTGGCAAACATATGACGAAAGGGCCACTTGACTACATACACTCTGATTTATGGGGACCAGCGAAGGTTACATCGAAAGTTGGAGCCTCTTATATGCTCACGATCATTGACGATTTCTCAAGAAAGGTATGGTCGTTCTTCTTGAAGTCAAAGGGAGAAGTATTCCAAACTTTTAGAGATTGGAAAGTATTGGTTGAAAAGCAATCAGGTTTTGAAGTGAAATACCTTCGTACTGATAATGGACTGGAATTTTGTTCTGAAGAATTCAACTCCTATTGCCGTAGGGAAGGAATTACGAGGCATCGCACCGTAGTTCATACACCACAGCAGAACGGCG